CTTCAGTCTATTCTCTCATAGACCCAGAGTGATCATATTAAAATGGAAGTCAGATTATGTCACACCTCTGCTCAAACCCTCGGATAGCTTTTCATCTCATCCCAGGTATGTCCCAACATCCTTTAATCATCACTTGCTCTCCTGCCTCCCTGACCTCCCACACTGGCCTCCTTGTTCACTGACCATAAAAGGCATGCTCCTACCTGAGGGCCTTTGCAGATTCCCTTCCCTTAAGTATCTGTATGGCTTGCTTCTTTTCTTCGTTTAGGCCTTTACTGAAAATTGCCTTCTCAGTGAGGCTTTCTGTGGCCAATGATCTAAAATTACTCCTCCCATCCTCCTTTTGTGCTTTATTTTCCTTAAGAAGCATTTATCCAACATACTATGTATTTTACTTATTTCTGATACTGTCTGCCTCTTCCACTTGAATGTAAGCTCCATGAGGCAGGGGGGTTTGGCTGTGTTTTTCATTGCTGTATTCTTTGTACTTAGGGAAGTGCCTGGCACATAGTATAAACTCAATAAATATTTGTTGAATGAATAACTGAAAAACTGGGCGATACGTGTCTTAAGAAAAGATTATTGGTGAAAGCATGATTAATCAAGGTTTATGAACCTTATGTCTAAAAAAGTTCATTTGCTGTTGAGTTTTCATGGAAATCTACCTTTGGAGGAAGTTTGACTTTATTTTCCACAAGGACAGTCTTGATTTCTCTTATCTTTGTGATGAGGAACTTCAGAGGCGAGTATTCAAGAAGGAAGAGAAAAATGATAAATACAGGTGGGTATTAAATAATATTTATTGTTTGCTATGTTGGATGAGCTAATGATTTTAAAAAATTATTAGTACATAGAACTTACTATTCATAGCTGACTGAAAATAGAAATGAGGAAAAAAAAGTTGCTCATTGATTGAATTAGCAGTGTCTGGCACATAGTAATGTAATATAAAAAGTGATTTGGACTTGGATGTGGTCCAAGAGGGCTTAGCTACTGAAGTAGTTTTATTTCTAAAGTGATTCTATAGTACAGGCATGAGTGTCCAGGCTACTTACAGTTAAACTTAGTATCTTCATTACTGTTCCTTATTTTATTTCTATCTTTAGACCTGAAAATTATAAATCCTTAGTTGTTATTCTTTATCAGCTCACTAAGACAACAATTACTGAATGCACAGACTACACGCTCTCAAATAAACTGTAGACAAGAAAAGGCAATAAACACTAGCCGAGTTAGAGGTAGAATGATAAAGACAAAGGTTGGGGAGCCTGGATTCCAGCTTTCACTATGCCACTAACTGGCTGTGTGATTTGGGGAGAGTCATTTAATCTTTCTCAGTTACTTCATCTGTAAAATGTGGAGGATGGACTGATAGGCTTCAAAGATCCTCCAAGGTCTATGATTTTTTTACTATAAGCTCAACCACTGTGGGAGGCAGAATAATGCACCCCATGCCAAAGATGTCCACATCTTAATCCTTGGCATCTGTTACATGGCAAGGGGGAATTGAGGTTGCTAATAAACTACCTTAAAATAAGGAGATTATGCTGAATTACGCAGTTGGGCCTAATATAATCACAAGGGTTTTTATAATGTTAAAGAGGGAGGCAGAAGAGTGTGCGTCAGAGTGATGCCATGTGAGAAAGACTTGACCAACCATAGCTGGCTTTGAAGATGGGGGAAGGGGCCATGAGCCAAGGAATGTGGGCAGCCTCTAGAAGCTGAAAAAGGCAAGAAAACAGGTTTCCTCTAGACCTTCCAGAAAAAATGCAGCCTTTCAGACACCTTGATTTTAGCTCAGTGAAACCTGTGCCAGACTTCTGACCTCCAGAACTGTTAAGTATTAAATTTATATTGTTTAAGCCATTAAGTGTGTGGTAATTTGTTACAGGAGCAATAAGAAACGAATACAATCATGATATGTACCATCACTAGCAAAGTTGGACCCAAATTTATCACAGATGCAGGGTTTTAATAAAAATTCTAAACTCAAGCATTTTGTAAAGATCTTGAGAAGCGGAAGTAATCAGAAACTGTGAAAAGTTGGGAGAGAGTCTATAGGGGGATAAAACTTTTACTAGTGATTCACGTGAAGAGTAGAAACCTGGACATTTTATGAAGGAAAGAAAATGGCAGCAGAAGAGATATTAGGAAGGTTATCTACAACGGAAGAGCTTCTTACTTCTCTGGACCTCAGTTTACTCATCTATAAACTAAAGGGCTGGGATAAATAATCTCTAAATTCCTCTAGCACTGAAACAAGATTTTAAAATCCTGACATGGGCCTTTGACACCCTCCCTTCCCAAAGTCTGAAGAGTACTCATTTTGGAAAGCAGTATAATCATCTTCAATATCTGATGGTCAAGCTTCACAGAAAGCTCTGACTCACTTTAATACCAAAGTGGTTCTGATTTTTTTTTTTGATTGGCCCTGTGCTAACACCTGTTGCCAATCCTCCTTTTCTTTTTTTTTTTCCCCTTCTTCTCCCCAAAGCCCGCCAGTACATACTTGTATATTCTAGTTGTAGGTCTTTCTAGTTCTGCTATGTGGGACGCCACCTCAGCATGGCTTGATGAATGGTGGTATGTCTGCACCCAGGATGTGAACCAGTAAAACCCTGGGCTGCTGAAGTGGAGCAAGCAAACTTAACCACTTGGCCATGGGGCCAGCCCTGTGGCTCTGAATTTTAACCTGGACACTCTTATTCAGGTAGGGTGCATGGGAAAATTGTTTAGCTTTCTAACTCTTCTGCCACTTCACCTATAAAAGTATGGTAAAAATTTGGTTAGATGGATTTTCTAAGGAAAGAATTATTTTAGATCTGAAGGTTTACTAAAAGTTTATTCCTTTGTGTAACTAAACTTTAAATATATTTGATGGAACTATTTTCTAAAATGAAACACATGCCCTATTTTTTTTTTTTTGTGGGAAGATTAGCCTTGAGCTAACATCTGTTGCCAATCCTCTTCTTTTTTCTGAGGAAGACTGGCCCTGAGCCAACATCCATGCCCATCTTCCTCTACTTTATATGTGGGACATCTACTACAGCATGGCTTGCCAAGTGGTGCCATGTCCGCACCTGGAATCCAAACTAGCGACCCCTGGGCCACCGAAGCGGAACGTGTGCACTTAACCGCTGCACCACTGGGCCGGCTCCTGCATGCCCTATTTTTAAATAAAATTTAATGAGTACCATATTATGTTTTCTTGAAGAGTCATTACTACTAACATCAATTACCATAGTGGGCTGTACTACAGTGATGCTCTAGACAGCAGTCAGCAAACTATGGCCTAGAGGCTGTTTTTCTAAGGCCTGGGAGATAAGAAAGTTGTTACATTTTTAAAGGGTTGTTAAAAAAACCCAAAAACAATGTGACCTTGGGGCGGGCCCAGTGGCAAAGTGGTTAAATTCGTGTGCTCTGCTTCAGCAGCCGGCTGGGGTTTGAGGGTTCAGATCCCGCTCGTAGACCTTTACAATGCTCATCAAGCCATGCTGTGGCAGCATCCCACATACAAAACAGAGGAAGGCTAGCACAGATGTTAGCTTAGGATGAATCTTCCTCACCAAAAAAAAAGAGGAAAAAAAAGAGTGACCTAGACTCTATGTGGCCTGAAAAGCCTAAAATATTTACTATCTGGCCCTTTACAGAAAGGTTTGCTGACTCTTGCTCTAGAAAAAGATTTGTACGCCTCTTCATGAAATTTCCACAACTAGATTGAACATTATGCTCTGTCACTACAGGAAGCACATCCATCTTGGCACAGTGTCTGACAAGGTAGCTCAAATATCTGCAGAAAAATAAAGGCTACTGGCATTTAAAATTCTTTTGTTCTTGTTCCACTCTCCTACTCACTCTCAGGTTTTTGGTAATCACATACAGGCCCCTAGCAGTCTCTCCCTCTTTCTAATCTTGGTCTGGAAGTTTGATAACCTAGCTTATAAACATTTTGAGCAATGTAAGCTTAAATTGGTTATGTGTAGACCCTGGAACTATTTTCTAAGTAAGACACAGGTGGTTGGTGCAGGAATTTGGTGACTTATTTTAATTGTCCTAAGGCCTTTTTACTTATTTCCAGGTTCTCTGCTATCCTTTGGAAAAGCAAGGTTGCAGGACAGATGAGGTCTTACTGCAACATGCCTGATCACTTTTTATTTTTATAATGTAAAAATAGCATTATATCTGAAAAGCTATTCACCATAATATTAAACTGAAGCACTCGGAGTGGCAGGATTTTCTTGGAATATCTGATTTTTTCCCTCAATGAACATAATAAAAGTTATATATCAGAAAAGCTATTTTCATTAAAAAAAAAAAAAAGAAATGGAAAGGATCTCTCCATTCAATCTCAACGACTTGTTTCATTTAGCATGTTTTCTTTCATTATCTGATCACGTTTTTTAATGGTTGTAAATATTGTGTTTATGGGTTTTATTTTGACTCACATTTGGGTTGCTACAGGTAACCCATGCCAACTATAATACTACCGAAAAATAAGCTGAAATGAAATACCGCAGGAATGCCAACAATCTGTATGGTGAAAGGTCTCTGAGCACCTTTTTGACCCCTACTCCACTCAATTTTTACAGCATCAGACGAATAATATCCAACCAGAATATAGTTTTAGGGTTCACAAAACACTTCATTGAGTCCTCACAACAACCCTGTGAGGTAGGCACATCTTCAGAGGTAAAAGGGCTTAGCCAAAGTCACTCGGCTATTTAGGGGAGAGGCTCAGTAGCCTGGTCAAGAAAACAGGAGCAGGTCTTTGGGGGCGTTTCTAGGAAGATTAGAGCTTCCTCCACACCCCGGCCTCTCTGTTCCTTCACCAGTCACTTACCTTGACACGCTCAAATTCTGCCTCTTCCACCCCATCAAGGCACACCGCGGGCTGGGGAAACCTGTAGCTCACACTCGCCCGCCCCCGAGCCCCGGAGCCCAGCCAGAGCGAAGAGCCCCGGCCGCCCCTCCACGAGCCGCAGGCTCGGCCCCGGACTAACCTGACCAGGTCGGTCATGCAGGAGCCCACCACCACCACCGCCGCCGCCTCCTCCTCCTCCGGCCACTGCCTTCCTGGGTCCCCAGCCGCGGCCATGGCTAAAACGAGGTGCTCTCCAACCCCAAACTTGCCCTTTACCCTTTGCCCGACCCCGTAACCACAGACGCCGTTCCTACGCTCCCTAACAACGCGGGCCTTCCAACCGCCTCGGCGGGTCGCCCACCTGAATGCCCGAAATAACCCCGCCCACCAACTGTCCCGGTTCTTTCAGGGATTGTCTCCCTGCACCGCCTCTCGTTACTGAGCCCTCCCGATAGTTCCAGACTCCGCGCTGCTCGCCACGCACGAGGCACGGGTCGAAGAAAGAACTTTTCAGGCACTGCGGGGACGCCCTTCCGAGCGCCCAGCTCGGCGCGGCCGGGGGCGCGCACGCCGCCCCACTGCTGGGCTGCACAGGGGAAGGGGCGGGGCGGGGCAGGACGTCCGGGGGCGCGCACGCATCCGGCCCGCGGTGCGCGCGCAGGTCGGTGCGTCGGTCGGGGGCGCGCTCGGGTAACCTGTACCCCACGTAGTCGCCGGTTACCGATCGGACTAAGTTCCAGGTACCTGGACTGGGGCTGGTGCGGGGAGGTTGGATCCCGAGTCGCACAGGTGGCGCTGAGGACCGTGGTTTAAATTTGCCCAGGGCTCGCCTCCTCTTCCTATAGAGAAGGCCCTCGTTCCAAAGATGCCCTGCTCATCCCCATCACGCTGGTCCCCTCAAGAACAAGCCCCCGAGGCCAGAGGCTGCTCCTTCTCCATATTTAGCCCGCGCCCTGGTCCCTGATAACGCTCAGACTCTTTCTTCCTTGCCGCCTCAAGAGGGGATGATACAATTTGGGAGAAAGGAGAGTGTCCCCTTTTAGATGCCCCCTAGAGTTGGGGTGGTCACTCCTTGGGTCTGAGCTGCTTGTTTTTCTCGAACGTTGCTCCTTAGAGAAATTGCTTCCCCAGTGTAACTTCCCTCTTGCGCTATATGACGTCGACGTGACGCAGCAGGACGCCACCCGTTTCCGTTCCATGACGTCAGCAGGGCACATGCTTCCGTGTTTGTCATCCCATCTTAATTGCAAAAAACTAGACGATGCTTTAGACGTCTTTGTATTCCCCAGGCCGCGTGTCACAGGACCTTGTGTGACCCTGTTGGGCAGCAGTAAAATTGTTATTTCTGCATTTTTTTTTTCTGTAACACGTAAAAATCAGGGAATACTGATTGCTCAACTAGCATTCAAGGGAAGCTGGCCTCTGTAAATTTTTGCCTATCCAGGATCTGTTATAGTGCTGTGATGAGTAAAAGCTCCTACTGGGGGATGATCTCCCAGCCATGTCCCTAGCTCAAAAGAACCGCGCCAAAGGACCATCATCTTTGTCTATTCCGTGACCTCTGGTTTTGGAGTTGGTATTTTTTTTCCCCTGTCTCAGAGAAGTCACAACACCTCACGGTTGAAACAGATTTTAACGCTGCATGAAATCTTAAACTGTCAAAAAATAGTGTTATGAATGTGCTGGAAACAAAGAGAGAAATTCATTCTTTCAGGTGTCATTCTAAGGTCATGAGAGTTACTGAATTGGAATGGATTGTTGTAACCTTAAGTATAATTTGGCTTCTGCAGCAGGTTTTTTCCCTTTAGTATTTGACTAGTGAATCACTCAGGCCAGTTTCAGCAGGAGGCCAGCAGTAGTCTAATTTGTTTCTAGTTGTAAAGCAACCATTAGTCTAAATGTTTGACTTTTTGCCCAAAGTTTACAAACGTACACTTAAAAAATTCACTTTGATGTTTTTCTCTTTGATAATGGAAGTTTTAAATGTTTATTTGCGAGGAAGATGAGTATAGTGGACTTTGAGGGAGATCTGGATTTGAATTCTGATCCTTCTGCTTGCTAGGTTTTTGACTTTGAACAAGTTACTTAGTCTTGCTGAGCTTTAGTTTTCTTATCTGTGAAATGGGAACAATAATATTAACCAGAGAACAGGGCTGTTGGGGGGAAGTAAATGGAATTACAGATGGAGATGGGTAATATAGTGTCTGATACTGAGTAGATGTTCGGAGTGTGTTGGTTGTGTTTCCCTTTTTCATAGAAATGAGAGATAAGATAATAATAGGTCTTATGGGAAAAAGCATGGAAGAATACTTTTGTAATGTAAGTGAGATCCTTTTGCTTTTTTCCGAGATGAGTATTTCTGTATTTGCATGCGATCTAGATAAGCATCCTTTCAAGAAGTGTGACATCAGTGGGTAGAAATAAAGGTGGAAATGTTGCAGAATAGAAAAAAATAGGCTTCAAAATGATAATAGGGATTAGTATACTGTTCAAAGACAAATTACAGAAGTTATCCGTATCTCCTGTAAAGTGGAAATTCTAATAACTTCCTTACTGCCCAGGGTTGTGAAGATCAATGGCAGTAATGTATATGGAAGCTCTTTATAAGTGATAAAGTATTATGAAAATGTACATGATTTTTATGATTGATAATACAGTGCATGAGATGTTTATTCTTACTTTATAATGACATATTGGAGTGATGGAGGGGGGTCGTCTGTTCAGTGGTTGGAAGAGGGGCCTGTTTTATTTTTGCAGAAAGGATAGCTTTTACTGCCTCAAGGGTACTTCTGGGTGTCATCACTACATAGGGTCTCAGTGTTATTATTTTTGGAAAGATCACTGCAGTCCTTCCCTTTATTACTATCTGAAATGATTAAAACAGGTACTAGTTTTCAACATTTATCGTAGCAGGAAACAGTAAGTCCTCATACGGTATAATATATGAAAATGAGAACCAGAACATCATTTACTTGTAATTGTAACTTTCAGGAAATTAATTTGCTTTTGATGTGGGATTATCCTTTCAGATTGAGCAAGAAATGATGATTTAAATTGACTTATTCACCTCTGAAAGTAGAGGCTTTCATTTAGAAATCTATTAAGAGGAATTCATGTACCCCCTCCCCCAGCCCTGTGGGTTTCCAAGTAATTTAGATATGATTTATTGGTTTTACTTTTGCGTTTTCAAGTGTAAGAACGTCCTAGTGCTTTACCGTCAAAGACTTTTAGATCCATGTTAGTTTGTGTTGCTTAATATCTGGATTGGTGTATGTTTTCATGATTTAATTAAGTTGAGTTTTGCTACATCTATTCCTCAAATACACTATCCTCTACCAAGTTTTTTGAGGGCATATTATCTCCTCTCCATACCGAAATATTTCCTTTTATTCATGTATTTATTAAAAACTGTTTATTGGATGTTTCGTTTATCTCTCTCCGGGGGAGAGATCACTAAGCAGGTAGTTATAATACACTGAGGAGGGATAGTTATTAAGAGAGGTATCTCAGGAGTAGTTTCTAGTAAGTAAAAATTGCGAGCAAGTTATGCTTGTTCTAGGATTTTATATAGTACTTTCAATCAAGTTCTTACTCTCTGCATTTTGTGTGTTAGGGGAAAGGATTGTCAGCGAAGGATTCTTAAGGTCTCAACTAAAGTAGAACCTGCCAGTTGTAAGACAGAATGGGACAACTTTAAACAGAGTGCAGAAATCAGCTTTGGAAAGGAGGAGAGAATTGGATTTCAACGGTTGCCTCTGTTCCTGAAAAGCAGCAGTGTAGTCTGTGTCCTGAGTGGTGAGCAGCAGGGAGTCAGTTTGTTCTGGAGGATCACTGGAAGAGGCTGCTATAAGACAGGAAATGAGGTGTTTATTCATGCAAGAGAAACTTCAGTGTGCTGTGCCAGTTTTCAGGAAGCTTGTTATATCTAGTTCCTTTGGATACTCTGATCACCATTCTTTCCTTCTGCTTTCAGTGGTGATTTGCAAGTCAAGTTAAAATGTCCCCAGAAGTCGCCTTGAACCGAATTTCTCCAATGCTCTCCCCATTCATATCTAGTGTGGTCCGCAATGGAAAAGTGGGACTGGATGCTACAAACTGTTTGAGGATAACTGACTTGAAATCTGGGTATGTACCAGAGCCAATCCAACCTTTACCTAATAATAAACCTTGCTTACCAGACGTGTAAAAATTGAACACCACAGAAATTCGTCAAGTCGTGACCTTCATGACTTGGCATGATGGTTCAGTTGGTTTTGTCCAGTTCTTGACATTTTATGTTTCAGGTGGTTTTATTTGTGTTGTGGGCCATTGCTTTATGATCAGAATGTTCTTGTCTTTTTTGGGGCATATCTCTTTGTTAACAGTGTGCCATGTGGTTTTTAGCAAGTGTGTTTTTCATTCATTGACTTGTTTTCTTGTTATGTCTTCTGCAATCCAGCGTGTACTATAAGAGTTGGTTTTGAGATAATGAATCTGACATCATTTGATAATCTCTCCTCATAGGAAAATTATAATAGCCAAAATGAGTCATTTTTCACAACAGGGTTGAAATGGTAAGATCTCATGTCTAGAAATGTTGCATTAAAATAACCTAAGTTTTTATTTTGAAATAAATTTACATTTACAGAAAATTTGCAAAAACACTGCAGAAAATTAACATTCTTACAATACTATTAGTTGTTCTATAAGCCTTACTTGAATTTTACCAGTTTTCCCATTAATGTCCTTTTTTGGTTTAGAATCCAATCTAGGATACAAATTGATTTTAGTTGTCATATCTTCTTAGTCTTCCCCATCTGTGACAGTTCCTGTCTTCTTTGTCTTTCATGATTCTGACACTTTTAAAGATAGCACTGGTTAGTTATTTTGTAAAATGTCACTCAATATGGATTTGTCTAATGTTTTCCTTTTATTAGACTGAGAAACACATTTTTTCCCAAGAATACTACAGAAGTGATGTTGTACCATTTTCGGTGCCTCAGATCAGGGAGTACGTGACCTTCATATGTCTTGCTATGTTAACTTTGACCACTTGGTTAAGATTGTGTCTACCAGGTTTCTCCACAGTAAAGTTAACTGGTTTTCCCTTTGTAATTAGTAAGTGTCTTATGGAGTGATGCTTTGAGACTGTGCAGATGTTCTGTTTTCTCATTATACTTTTGTCCACTAATTTCAGCATCCATTAATGGCTGTTGCCTGTAGCTGTTACTGTGGTGCTTGTCTGAGAGTGCTTTTCTACTTTCCTTATTCCTCCCACATTTATTAATTTGAATTCTACTGAAAAGAAGCACTATCCCTTCTCCCCAAATTATTTATTTATTCATGTCAGTATTAATTTTTAGGTATTTATTCTATGGGTTGTAATCTAAATACTATCATCATTTATTTTGTTGCTCAGTTCTAACTTTTGTCATTGGGAGCTCTGTCAGGTGGCTTTTGTGTCCTTTTGACATATCCTCATCATTTTTTGAGTACTTTTTTACGAGAAATGTTGCATTCTTGTTCTC